GCCATAAATGAGAAAGAAGAAACGGAAAAGAAAAGTCAAAACTCAATCAAGGCTGACAACAGTGGGTTATGGGTGTGAGAGAAAGCTGGTAGCAATTTTATAGAGAAGGAACCAAGAAGGGACGGACCGGTGTTTGAATGGACTGGAATGGAATCGTTCGTTGTGACAAACTTTGAAATGTTGTCGTCACGAAGTCAACAAGTTCAACTAACTCATAAATAGTCTCTTTTTCTTTGTTTTTTTTTTCTTCTTCTAATTTTGTGAAAATGATTTTCTTTTTGCTGTAATAAACTGATGGACTTGCGTGCCTTAGGGGTATATTCATATTGACTATTGTCACGTTAATTGTAGAATAAGTGGAACGAAATGTTTATAGCTATTACAAAATAGATGTTTGTTTTTTAATGTAGTTATTGGAATGTGGAGCTAGGGTTTCAGTTAGTAGAATTATTGTGTTTTTTTATTTCTTCAACAACATATATACTAACACATTATATGCTTCACAAATTGTCAAGCAAAGTTTTAACAAGCGTAAGGAACACTAGGACGTTCAAAGGCAAGAGGACTACTCCGGAACATGTCTGTGCCGGCATTGGTAAAGACATTTATGATTGGTTGATAGTTGCTAAAAGAGTGGATAAGTTGGTGGTTGATCAGTGGTTTCAGCATTTTAGATCCAGGGTTTTCCCGAGAAGCTTCTTCACTGAGGAAAGGAGTAATCCCCCGCTGCAACCATCTTCTTGATATCTGGGTGACAAGGCTCGTGGTGTTGTGTGCAGCTCTGTGCTCTGCTTCTTCTGGTTTTTCGTCTCTTTTTTTGGTTGGGTGTTTGTCGCCCTTGTCCTTTGTTGGTTGTTGGCGCCTTTTTTTCCGTTTCTTATTCCTTTTCCTTCTGTTGTGTTCTTCTTTGCTTTCCTCTTGTAATCTTAACTTATTTCACCTTAATAAAAAAAAGTTTTAACGAGCGTACTTGAATTTTTTTTAAGAAATTTTTATTAAGTTATTCATACTCGTATGGATATTCAATGATATTTCAAGAACTATAACTATTTTCCCGAGAAAAAAGAAAAACTTGAAATGTGAGTAAGAGTTATTATTTGGCGAACCATTTTGTTTGACACATTGCATCCTATTTATAGTTATGGCCTTATGGGGTGGTAATTATCTCGATGAATCGTTTCACCTTTTTCCAAATCCATACTCATCTCAACAGATGCCGCATATCAAAAAAAATCGATAACTTACTGACTAAATATTGGAAAGGGAAAACTCAAACACTATCCAACGAGTACCCACAAGTGCGCTTGCAGACATAATCACAAATAGTTCTTCCAAATACTCATATTCTTATATTATTAAAATTCCCCTCATAACTACATTTCCATGAAAACTAATAAAATACCTAAATTATCCATATGTCAGCTTGTTGACTATGCAGCAGGTAAGAACATATATGAGCAAAATCAAGATGGGTGATAGTAGTACAAAAAGAACAGTTGCGATCATGAGCTTGGTTTCTTACGATGATGATCTGGCAGACCGCAGTTTGGCATTCGTGGCCTGGTCTTTCTTTTGACGAGTAATCATCTCCAGTTCCACCCATGTGTGAACTGTGAAGTAGGCGAGCGCGATGTCCAGCCCTTGGAACTAGTCAGCTAGACCTTTAATTATTAGATCAGGCCACGTCTGCTTTTGGGACCGTACCCTATTACTTGCTCGTTTGATTTTGGTGATAATTTGTTCGGTATAGTTACAATGCATACAATATCCATAATGCATCGTTTTTTTTTAATTTTCTGCACAAATAATACATGCATTGTTTGTTTGATGTGACACAAACTATCACTTATTTGTTTGATTAATATTGTTGTGTTTTTTTTGTTCTTCCAACTATGTCCCTACCTTTTTATGTGTGTTGCTTTTTTATACTAAAAACAAAGGGTAAAGTGACATTTCACTCAAAAATTAATATAGGGGTCGTTTGCGTTTGGTGATAGTTTAGGTGGGATTGTTACAATGGGTGCATTGTCGACAATGCATCGTTTTTCTGCTTCTTTTCCTACAATAATGCATGGATTATTTTTTTGTGTAATGGAAAAAATCACTCAAAATGAGTGATATTAATATCTCAAGTAAAACTTGAGATTGTTGAGATAGTTTAGTGTGGATTGTTTGATACTTTTTTTTCTCCAATATAATTATATCCCTCGTTATTTATCTATATTCCATAATACCCTTGAGATTTATTATTTAATTCACTCTAATTTTTTTTTCGTGAACACCCATGCTCAGTTCCCTCCACTTTTTTCGTGGATGTCTCTACCACCCGCTAAATTTATCAACCTCTCCCTTCAAAATTTTATCGTCGGTCTAGCCTCCTCAGAGGCTCAGACTCGTCATCGGTCTTACATCTACAATTAGTGTTTGTATCCTCAAGTAGAATACATGTGTGTATCTCCCCTTGCTTAAAGAGGGGAAGAATTACTAAAAACCGGTGTTCGTCTATACCCATAAAACAAGGGTAAAAGTTTTATTTCATACAAAAAAGGAAATACAACGTATGCTAAAATAACAATCACCAAAACCAAACAATATGCTACATTACATCATTTTCTTTAATTGGATGTATATTACAAATTTACAATGGATATATTGAGTACAATGCATTGATTTAAATATATCACCAAAACCAAACGACCCCATAATTTATTTAAACACTACAATAACTATTACAGAAACCAAACAATGTAAACTACAATACACCAATTTTCTTATATACATGTATATTATTATACATACATTGATGACAATGTATCGATTTAACTATCATCAAAACCAAACGACTCCTTAATCTCCAGATAATGACCCCCTGGTCGTGAGCAATTAGAGGTGTTTTCATAAGTCTGCAGGGTCACGGAATCTAATAAGGTGATCACGTTAGAGAGTGGTATAAGATCCAACATAACCTTCTTCCAATAATTCGAGTTGTTGGGTGTATGGTACTCAACCATTTTCTTACACATCCCCTCAAACGAGAGCTGACTCATGGGTTTGAAGTTTGCACATACCCGTCATACCATGTGCTTGAAGACAACAGTTAATATTGGAAGTTGTGAAAACTTGAACACATGACCTCATGAACAAATCAGCTACGATACCATATAATAAACCAACTAGTTTGGATCAACCGATGATTTATGACAAATCAGCTCCTGTCTTCCACCTGTTGTTAAGAGCAAGCATGCGTAAGTAAGGAAAAACAAAACGAACGAACGAAACTCGAAATATTGGCGCGGGAGGACGAAACCTCTCTGCTTCTCCGATCCTTGTCTCACAAATGGTTAGTTCCGTCTCCAAACCTGCTGATATGCTTAGTCACGTACGCAAAGTGATTGCCACGTTCGGCACCTAGTGAATCAGGATAACATGAATATCCAACTTTGTAAGTGGGCGATGAGTTGTTTTAACCTCAACTTGTTTTTTTTCCGGTGTGGTTGAAGTTAGTACGTACGAACGACACAGTGGCGGACCTAAGGCATGCCAGGGTGTGTCGTCCGACACACCCTCGCTCGAGAATTTTACGAAGGACCTACATATTTTTGGTACAAAATTTTTTACTTTGGGATAGCGACACACCCTCAATAATTATAGCCGACACACCTTTATTATACTCGAAGAAATTATTATCCAAATGAATCAATCTTAATCATAATCCTTTTTAATTTTGTTTAAAATAACTCATAAAGCATAATCATATCCTTCCTATTAAAAAAAACACTCTTCGCCCATACAATATACATTACTATCAAGTCGATTTATTCTATGCAGTTATAGATTTGCAGCTGCAAGAATTGAATACTCGATTTGGTGAGGTGAACACTCGATTGTTGGACTGCATTTCTTGTTTTAGTCCAGCTAACTCTTTTGCTTCTTTTGATAAAGCAAAGTTGATAAGTCTTACTGAGTTTTATCCCGAGGAGTTTCCATCCAATGTGCTCTTACGACTTCATCAACAATTGGGGGCTACATTTCTCATGTCAAGGAGGATAAGAGCTTTGATGGATTTCGAGGAATCGACGAGCTAGCTAGGAAATTGGTGGAAAGGGGAAATGACACTCTTTATCCTTTAGTTTACTTGCTGTTAAAGTTGGTGTTGACCTTACCTGTGGCAACTGCAAGCTGCGAAAGAGCATTTTCAGCTATGAAGATAATCAAGAACGATCTTCGAAATCGGTTGAGTGACCAATTTATGAATGATTGTTTAGTTGTGTATATTGAAAAAGATTTGTTTTGCAGTATAAGTGATGAATGTATTTTAGAGACATTTCAGCAGATGAAAAGTCGTCGCGGTTCGTTGTAAACATGACATTATGAACTTTATGAATTAATTTCTTTTAATTTTAAATTAATTTTAAATTTAATTATTATTTTATTTTATCGGCGACACACCTCTCCGACAATCCTGGGTCCGCCACTGGAACGACATGACGATGATGATAATGATAGTAGCCTGGTCCCAGAAGCTTAGCAATTAATCGTACCCGGCCACTAATTCGCTTAGAGTTAATTATGAATTCTTGTACTGCTCTGCTAGTCTGCCCTGAATTTAATAACGCTAATAGCTAAAATAGTAACGTCGACAATAATCTATGGTGATGGCGAAAGCGTAATAATGGAGACAAAATGGCGTGGGTGGAAGGTGGCAGGAAGGCCCAAAATAGGAGAGGAGATGACACAGACACAGACACTACCTTTCTTTAGTTTAATATTAACAGCAATAATAATACTAGTGGTTTCTTTCTTTCTTTCTTGAGATCGCTGAAATTGGATAACCATGGACCCAGCCCGCAACTTGGTAACCGAAGGAAGGAAGCAATAATGATCCTTCCTCCCTCCCCTTCCCTTCCCACAACAGAACAGAAGCTGCCTTGGAAGCATCATCCATGTGATCCAAGTCCAACCCTCTCTTTATATAAACTTTCAACACTCCTTAATTTTCCACTCAAAAACCCTTCCAACCTTGAGAGAGTTTCTCAACACTGTTGAAAACAACAAATCAAATCAAATCAAGATGGCGTCCCCTGCAGACCAAGAAGCTTGGACTCTGGATTTCATCAGGCAACAGCTCCTAACCGACTTCCCTTCCATGGATTCCTTCATCTCCCACTTCCAACACCACCAAACCCCTTTGAATTCAACTGTCAAAACAGAGCAAGAAACCACCCAGCAGCTGATCAACAATAACAGCAGCAAGCTGCAGGCTCCCTCTGTTTCTCTGTCGTCACACTCTCCTTCCTCCAGCTGCGGCAGCACTCTGAGCCAGAGGAAGCCGCCCATGTCCAACATCTCCATCCCAAACACCATCCCCAAGATCCCAGCCCCGGCCCGGATCCACCTTCACTCGGATCTCGCCAATTCCGACGAAAAGCACTACAGAGGGGTTCGGCGGAGGCCGTGGGGGAAATACGCCGCCGAGATTCGGGACCCCACCAAGAAAGGGGCCAGGGTCTGGCTGGGGACGTTCGACACCGCCGTCGAGGCCGCCAAGGCCTACGACAGCGCCGCCTTCCGACTCCGCGGCAGCAGGGCCATCCTCAACTTCCCACTCGAGGCCGGCAGGAATTCCGACGACGACTCTTCTTTCCAGGCGCCGCCGGAATCGAGCGACTGCTGCGGCGGCGGGATTAGGAAGAGGAGGATTGGGGAAGTCCTGCTGCAGGATGGTGGCGAGGGGAGTTTTAAGGCGGTGAAGGCGGAGAACGAGTCTTCGCCGGCGGCGGTGGGGCAGGGTGGGGAACCGGTGCCGTTAACGCCGTCGAGCTGGAAGGAGTTCTGGGACGGGGAAGCCAAGGGGATATTTAGCGTCCCGCCGTTGTCGCCGTTATCTCCCTATACGTTTTCCCGCCTGATGGCGGTGTGATGCGATGGAGGAAAAAAATTAAAATTTCCCCCAAACAAGAATTTAGCAAAAACGTGAGCGCGGATCATCCGGTGCCGGCCTGGAACGAACACGTGGCAGAGCTTCGGTCGGATGACGTAGGATAGTTTGCCACCTTCATATGTGTACATAAATAAAATTAAATAAAAAAATAGACCGCAACTCCTGCTTGAAGAGATGCTAGTTGTTCCATTCCATCTGTGCTTTGGTTGTGCTACCAAGTACCTAGGAAATCGATTGGGATGTGTTTTCAGATTGTATTTGTTCCTTTATTTGATTCATTTCATGAGTTCAGTTCAGTTCACCTTTCTTTTCTTATATCAAACCATATATATTAAAAGTTATGTTCATCGGAATCGTATTTTTATTTAGAAACAAATTGTCATGATACCAACTGAACTTGCATATTTATTATTATGGTATTCCGTTGGTACATATTTATTTTTTTTGTATAAATTTTTTACTGGTATAAACTGAAATATAACTTAAATAATCCTATTAAAAAATTGAATATATATATATTTTCGTATAAATTATTTCATGGTTACAAACTAACTTTGTATGTTCAATGTTATGGTACAAATTTAATTTGTACATGATTTTCATTTATATATTCAAATTCCGTTGATTTCCTTGACTTGACACTGAAACATTACTAAACTATAGTTTGAAAATTCCCATTTCACCTACCACAAACATTTCAAATAATTAACCATTGCTTGTAGATGTAGCAGGGGGTTTACGCTTACTTTAGATAATAATAAAAAAAAATCATTGGCATAAACCCTTTTGTAGTGCCTGGCAATCCCAAATAACTTTTTAGAACGTATATAGGTCGAAGTTTAATGATTAAGGTGGTGCGGGATTTTTTTTTTATTTAAATTTAGACTCTGATTAGAGATTATTATTGAGTTTAATTGTAAGATGATTCTAAGTTGGTCGAGAACAGAACATGATAGGACTTTAAAGAACACTCCAATTATTTTTAACAATTTGTTGACTGATTAATGTTAATAAGTTTGTTGTTCAGTAAAAAAAATGTTGAGTTTATTGTTGCGGTGGAGAGATAAGTAGGATGGAAACATAAAAGCCAAACCTTTATTAATTATATTGTTGAGATAGGGGTTGTTGGTCCGTATCGAACTGATGGGGCCAAACCGATATTTGGATTAGATCATACCGAATCGAAAATGATATGGTTTAATATTTGTTCCTGGAAAAATTGATATTTAGATCAAACAAAATAGAACCAAATACACTATTAATTCAATCATTAAGCCTAAAATTGAGTATTCATTTTGCAGGAAGACGTTCAAACATATCGGCCGCAATATTACCCGAACGCTTGGAAACCTTGAAGAGCTCATTTCTTAGCGAACTCGAAAGGCTGAACAATGACCACTCTTGTTATTATAGTATTCCCATGGGAAATTCCATAACACTAATCTATATGACTATTCTTTACAGCTTGATCTTGGTATCACCAAGAACTGATCATGAATATATAACTAGCCTACCATATGATTAACGTGGTGAGTTAGTACAAACTAGTATCGATCATTAATGACGTCGCGACTGATCACTTTGAAACACACCAATCGTACTATGTACCTGATTTTATCCTAAAAGTAGTTATTAATCATCAAATTTAAAATTTTAATTGTTACGATAATTTATTTAATATAATAAAATATAACTAATTAATTCATGTATTACCATAGCCCCAAAACCATAAACTCTTATATATCCTTCAAAATAAATTCTAAATGAATTTCGCGCAAGTTAATAATTTTTTCTATTATTATCTACCATAATCACAATTTCACAATGATTACTACTAATAGTATATCTAGGGATGGCAATTTCGACCTGACCCGTTTTACCCGACCTGTTTGGCCTGTTTTGGGGCGGATATGGGTATTCTCATCGACCCGACCTTCCCTGACCTGCCCCATTCTCGACCTGTTCTTTTCTAAATTACATGTAATCTTAGTCAAAGTACTTAGAATTTTTCTTTTATTACATCATAATTTAGAAACAATAAAGTTATAAATTAGTGAAAACCTCAATTTTTCTAATAATTTAACTACATTTAGCATAATATTGTTTGTTTTCTTGGTCTTATAATAAAAATAACGAATATTTCTAATGTTTTTCATATAAATTGCATACCCACTATCGATTTAAGCATTTATCCTTCATTATCCCGGTAGACTTGTATTTAGTGCCCTCAATCCTCATAAGCTTTATGCACGTGCACAGTCTCGGGTCTCCCCCTGACTTTCCTGGAGTAGAGTTCCGAATGATTTGTACTTTTACCGTCATAGTCAAGTTGAAATTGTAGTTTAAAACACCAATACTTTAAAGAACAGTATAAATGCTCAATAATCCATAACATAAATGTCAAATTCTCATCCATAAAACAATTTCAATTTGTACTTTTAGCATTATAGTAACAAATTGAAATTGTAATTTAAAACACCAATACTTTAAAAATAGTAGAAGTGCTCACGAATCCATAGCATAATCACTATTGATTTAGGCTGTCCACAAGACCACAACCCTAGGGCTAAATGCCCTTTTAGCCCTAATAAATCATGTTCAACCATGGTGCAAATTTGGGAGCTAAAAGGCATAAGGGGTTTTAGGGGGCTATTTTAGCTCTTCTTTTTTTAGGGGTGTGTGTGTGTTAAGAGGGAGCTAAAATGGTGGAGATTATTTCAACTTTTCTTTGTTTTAGTACTTAAATTGAATATACTTGTGTTGTTGTGAGTGTTTTTAACTAACGAGATTCTTTTCGTTTTAATTTTCAACCGTTTGATTGCTACTTAAAAATAGAAAAACATATTTAAAAATGGGAACGTTCTTCCATTTCAACTAAAGAAGAAAGGTATCTCCGAAATTGTTCAAAATTTTGATAATTTTGATGAACGAAGTTCAATTCGGTGTAACTTTCTTCCATTTCAGAATTTGTTCAAATGTTATCGAAATGTTCGTATTCATTTATCGTGAATGAATATATATATTTTAAATTAAAAAATAAGTTTAACTATTCTTAAGTTAGGATTACTGTTGGGGGTATTATGAGCAAGGCCCAATGGGCGACAACTTGGGCTTCCAAACAGCCGAATTGGGGGGCAAGGCCCAAGCAAGGTGGAGGGCACATAAGGACAAATCACTAGAAGCCAAAGGGGGCCAGACTGACATGTGGTCCAGTGTCTGCGGGCGCCTGTCACGTGCCAGGAGTCTGACAAGGTGGTTGGGATATCTGACCAGAAAGGGACAAAGCATTAAATGGAGACAGTGAGGTAGAGAAGATCAACCTCGAACTCTGGTGAGTATAAATAGGGGCAGTTGGTAGCATTTACACATGTTGGACTCTCTCTCACTAAGCTCTGGTTTTGAGACACTTCTCTCTTCGAGGAAACTAACTTGGGGGTCGGAGGATTAACGGGCCCAGGCGCCCCCTCCTTGTTCGTGTGTGCAGATCGGCGCCTTGCGAGTGAGGGTTTCGGAGAATCATACAAGGGTAACACGTCTCAAACAATTACTAAATACAAAACATAAATTTTTAGTCATCAAAATTGCAGCGGTTTCTATTTTCAAGGAGATTAAAAGGTAAAAATATCCTCTCTTTTTTTTTGGCAAAAATATCCATAAAACCCTCAATTTTTGTCCCTCGAGTTGTGGACTTGTGGCTAGGCTTAAGCATTTATACTTCATTATCCCGGTAGACTTGTATTCACTATTCAGTGCCCTCAAATTCAATCCTCATCAGCATTCTGCACGTGCACAGTCTCGGGTCTCCCCCTGACTTTTCAGGAGTAGAGTTCCGCATGGTTTGACTAAAATCGAGATGGTCTCCTATATTAAGAGACGTGGTCCATAAAAATATAACTGGAAAAAAGATTCTAGCTTCGAGGTTGTAAAATTTCAACTTATCAATTCTTTGTTTATGAAGGGAGATGGTACACTTTCAACCTCAGAAGCCTGACTTTTGGTTCTCTTTTTGTAAAGTTTTAACAAGATAATATATAATGGGAGACTAAAGGGGTTAAATATATGTAAAATTATGTTATAAGTTTAGAAAATAAAGTATTTATTATCGTTTGGATGTGAAAATTTAATGTAGTAATTGGAGCCAATTACCACATAATGCAGTAATTGGGTTAAAAACCCATGTTTGGCAGCGCAAAAAGGGTATAATGGGAATTGGACCGTGGAAATTGGCTTCAATTACCACATTCATTGTAATTGAGAATACTACATCTCCCCCTAGTAATTTGACATTACCACGTTTTCTTCCTTCTATTTCCAAATGTGTCCCTATGTCCTTCCTCTCCTTTCTCTCTCTCTCTCTCTCTTTTTTTTTTTGATAAGGGTGATAATTGATATAGGTTTCATTTTGTAATTAAGGTACTAGTTAAGGGATTCGAACCTGAGACCTCCTTTCTTTCCTAATCCTTCTCCGTTTTCGCCTAACTATTTCTTAAAAGAGTAGCCCCTTCTTTTTCATTCATCAATGGTACCTCTTCTTCTTCATCTCCCCTCACCTTCGTATATCTCCTATAATCCGTCGTCAATTTCTTAATTTTGGATTTGCTTAATTATCTCATTCACCGTCGATTTTCCTACTTCTCCTCATCGAATTCGCCTAAACACTTTTAATATCCGTATTTAATGAATTAAATTGTTAACTTTATTGTAATTTATATATGTACTTATTATTAAAATAATTAAGTTTATATATTTATGGCTTTTAATGTACTATTAAATGTAATATTAGCTTAGAGATGAAGTAAAATAATCGTACGTAATTTATACGTAATTTTCCATATCATATTTTTCTAACTATGCTTAAGTTAGCAACAATTAGTAGTTAGTATAATACAACAACAACCTTTAGGAGGGGTATATGTATATAAACAAAGGAGGGCATTTTTTGTATTTTTACCAAATTCCACACCATCAATTCCTACAAAATTAAACTCTATCCAAACGTGAAATTTTGTTCAATTTCCACAAGTCAATTCCTTGGTTTTGTAAACATGGAAATTCAGACAAATTCCCACGTTTTCAAATTTCCACATCCAAACGAACACCTAAAGGCTAAAGCTTTAGCCTCTCTTCCAGTTACCATAATTCAAGTTAGCCTTTTGATAAGACTCATAGCTCCATCACTGCATATAAATATAGTGTATGCCACACACAAACGTTATACCAACAAATCATCAAATTACCATGTGACAGATCGACCAAACATTTGACACCAACCTGATCTCTCTCTGTCTGCCAACGGAAATTGCAAAGAAAAGAAAAACACTTTTCCGTTAACAAAATGAAATACATATTGGTTAAGAAGGAAAAATTGGTAAAATAAAAAATATAAAGTGCAAATATTATATTAACAATATTAGTACTTATAATCCATCAAAACGTATTATTTTGTACAAATACAACATAATAATTAATATGTATTATGATATATAGTATTTAAGAGCTTATCAGCTCAAAATAACAAGTTTGACAAATATAATATCCAAATAAAATTTTTTTTAAAAAAAAAAAATCAACCAATAATTCAATGGAAAAAAAGTGCAGTAGGGGACCCCTTGTTGAGAAGTAGCCTTGCTAGTTTAATTTGGCCAAATTGATTCCCTTTTGTCTATATCAATCAGTGGCCCCTAGCCATGTATAAAGCTCCTCAACATGGGCTCTACAGAAATTTTGATTGCTTAGTTGTGGAGCTGACAATTAGGATCCAAATCCATGAATCCAATCCAATCCAATCCATCCACCAAATTATCCACCTAATCCAATCCATTTAAATCCAATACATTTGATCCAAATGGCAAATTATGATTTGGTACCTATATTTTTTATATATTACATTTTGGTAGCTAAAATTTATATTTTTATACGAAAATATCATTGGAAAATTACATTTTGGTACCTAAAAATTTTAATTATGAGATTTTAGTACCAAAACTTTTCAAATTGTACATTTTGGTCCAAGCCTTTGATGTCATTTGGATTCATGAATCAATCCACCAATCCATTTGATCCAATCCATGAATCCACCAATCCATTTGATCCATGAATCTACCAATCCAATCCACGAATCCGATCAAATTGCCACCTCTACTTAGCTGCCATTTATCATTTACCGACTTCATACAATTATATGTGGTTAGTGGCTAATCGTTGTTAACCACGATAATCTCCTCATGGAAAGAAAAAGCCAACATACATACAAGTGGGTTTGCCATCGAGAGCAAATTGTGTGCCCCACATTTAGAATCAATCAAATCCCAACAGAAACACCAGCTATGCTATCAATATCATGTTATGCAAGGTTGTCAACGTAAAGGTTTATCAAGTCATTGGGTTCAGAGTTAATAGTTCCATCACATTAATATGAATATACAAAAAAATCATTATATTATTCATACCTTTTGAAAAGCCGTTTTTCTTAAATTTTGAAGGTGGTAGATCACGGATTCAGAATGAAGCTATTCTTTAGAGATGAATAGATCTATCAAACTCCGATTCGGGCGGAATATTTCCGGGGCCATTCTTGGCAGATTTCAAAGGGGTACCATCAACGATGTCGGGCGATTTTTTGGAAAGACCATTTTCCTTGGATCTTGAAGGCGACGGATCGCAAATTCGGCACTAGGGTACTCTTCACCAATGATGAAGTCTAGTAATCGCGGATTTGGACAGAAATTTGGTCGAATTTTTCAGGAGGGAATTTTTCGTAATTTTTTTGCAATATATTCGAAAGGCCGTTTTCCTTAGATTTTGAAGGCTGCAGATAACGGATTCAACCTGTGGCTATTCTTTAGGGATGAATAAGTCTATTAAACAAAGATTCAGGGGCCATTTTTGGCAGATTCCAAAGGGGTCATTTTTGGCAGATTCCAAAGGGGTACCATCACCGCTTTCGGGCGATATTTTGGAAAGGTCATTTTCCTTGGATTTTGAAGGCGACGGATCGCAGATCCGGCGCTAGGGTACTATCCACCAATGATGAAGTCTAGTAATCGCGGATTTGGGCGGAAATTTGGTCAAATTTTACTAGAGGCCATTATCGTCATTTTTAGACAATATTTTCGAAAGGCTGTTTTCCTTAGATTTTGAAGGATGCAGATCACGGATTCATCTTGATGCTATTCTTTGGAGATGAATAACTATATTAAACACCGATTCGGGCGGAATATTTTCGGGGTCATTTTTGGCAGATTCTAAAGGGGTACGTACCATCACCGATTTTGGGCGATGTTTTGGAATTGCCATTTTCCTTCGACTTTGAAGGCGACGGATCACATATTTTGGCCCTAGGGTACTCTCCACCAATTTTGAAGTCTAGTAATTGAGGATTTGGGCGGAAATTTGGTCGAATTTTTTCGGAGGGCATTTTCGTAATTTTTAGGAGATATTTTCGAAAGGCTGTTTTCCTTAGATTTTGAAGGCAGCATATCACGGATTCAGCCGGGGACTATTCTTTAGAGATGAATCATTTTAATAACACTAATTCGGGCAGAATATTTTCGGGGCCATTTTTGGCAGATTTCAAAGAGGCACCATCACCGATTTCAGGAGATTTTTTAGAAAGACCATTTTCCTTGGATTTTGAAAGCATTGGATTGCAAATTCGGACCTAGGGCAGTCTCCACTAATGATAAAGTCTAATAATCGCGGGTTTTGGCGGAAATTTGGTCGAATTTTTCTGGAGGACATTTTCATAATTTTAGGCGATATTTTTGAAAAGTCGTTTTCCTTAGATTTTCTAGACTGTAGATCACATATTCAGCATAAGGCTATTCTTTATTGATGAATAAGTTAATTAAGCACCGATTCGGGTGGAATATTTTAGGGCCATTTTTGGCGGATTCGAAAGGGGGTACCATCACCGATTTTAGGCGATTTTTTGGAAAGGTAATTTTCCTTGGATTTTGTAGGCGATGTATCGAAGATTCGGCCTTAGGGTACTCTCCACCAATGATGAAGTTTAGTCATCGTAGATTTGGTCAGAAATTTGGTAGAATTTTTCCGGAGGGCATTATCGTAATTTTTAGGCAATATTTACGAAAGGTCGTACCTTAGATTTTGAAGGTTGCAGATCAGGGATTCAGCCTGATGTTATTCTTTAGGGATGAATAAGTCTATTAAATATTGATTCGGGTGGAATATTTCCGGGGCCATGTCTGGCAGATTCCACAGGAGTACCATCACCGGTTTCGGGCGATTTTTTGCAAAAACCATTTTCCTTGGATTTAAAGGCGACGGATAAGAGATTCAGCCCTAAGGTACTCGCAACTAGGGCTGTCAATTCGGTTGCCGGTTAGCGGCTAACCGGCTGGTCTAACCGGTAACCGCCGGTTAGACTAACTTCAACCCGTAAAGTCCAATTTGGCTCCCCAAGTAGCCAAATATGGCTTTTTAGCACCCCAAACCCCATTTTCACTCCAACCCTACACAATGCTAAATTTAGCTTCCTACCTACCTTTTTTCAATTTATTACAATAAAGCATACTTATTTGACCTCTAATTTTCATATTTCACTTTAATTTTCTATAGTTAGTTATTACTTTTGAAAACAAAATTTTCGATATAATTTTTTTTATTCCGAGACAAAAAATGTTTCTGAAAATTAGTCATTATTTTGTTACCATTAACTTGGGGACCAATGAAAAAATACCAATTAAACATATAACATTTCATATCTTCTTTCAAACAATTAAACAAACAACATACACAATCAACCAATGACAAAATACCACACAAAAAAAGCAAAAAGAAAAAACAACACAATCAACCAATGAGAAAATCCCACAGAAAAAACAAAAAACAAAAAAATAAAAGAGGACACACCGCGGGTCCACCATTTCCTCTAGCCAAATTTGGCATTTTCACCTTTTTGGAAGCCAAATTTGGCTCCCAATTCACCAATACCCATTTTTAGCTCCCAAAATAATGTGGGTTGGAGCACACAAAAAAGAGCTAAAAATGGGTAAATGGTTTTTTAGCTCTAGGGTTGGAGTTAGTCTTAGCGGCTAACCGGAAACCGAAAAAAATGGGTGGCGGTCGGTTGTCGGAAGCGTTCAGTGGTTAGGCGGTTAGCCAAAAAACCGAGGCCGGTTAACCGGCTAACCGACGCTAAACGACCCCGTTTTGGCCTAAATAAAACTACCCACCTGGCCACCTCTCCCTAAACCCTAGCAGCCGTGAGAGCCGCCCCCATTCTCTGATCCTTTCCCATCCTCCCTCCTTCTCCCCCATCCTCCTTCCTCTGAACTCTCGTTCCTCCATCCTTCCTCCTCCTCCCCCATCCTCCCTCCGACGACGACTCCGGCCGCCCTCCCCTGCCTCCTCCGCTACCCCTCCTTCCACCGCCACCAAAATACCCCGATGACCCACCTCCTCCTCCTCGACGACCCACCTCCTCCCCGGCGCCGCGCACCTCGCTGTCGTCGCCGTGCGCAGCCGCGCGCCTCGGTGCCGTCGCCGCGCGCCTCGTTACCGTCGCCGCCCCTGCAGATATGTTTGCATGGGCCATGGAGAAAGAAGTTGAGAGAAGAAGAAGGAAGGAGAGAGAAGAGGTCTGGTGGAGGAAGGAAGGAGAGAGGAGGAGATAAGGAAGGAGAGGTGGAGTTTTTTTTGTTTTTTTTTTGGAAAATGTATTTTTATCGGTTGGCCGGCTAACCGATCCTAAAACCGGAACCGACCGGTCGGTTGGTCGGCTATCCGTGACCTCTCTTCGGTCGGTGGTCGACAACTATAGGGGGTGTCTCGGTTTAACCGATAACCGGGTTTTCAGTTAAACCGAAACCGACCGACTGCCACCCCTACTCGCAACTAATGATGAAGTCTAGTAATCGCGGATTTGGACGAAAATTTGGTCGAATTTTTTCGGAGGGCATTTTCATAATTTTTAGGCAATATTTATGAAATGCCGTTTTCTTTATATTTTGTAGCATGCAGACCACGGATTTAGCCCGGGCCTATTCTTTAGGGATGAATTAGTCTGTTAAACTGCGATTCGGGTGGAATATTTCCGAGGCAATTTTTGCATATTTCAAAGGGGTATCATAACCGATATCAGGTGATTTTTTTGAAAGGCCATTCTCCTTGGATTTTAAAGGCGACGGATCGCAGATGTGGCCTTAGGGTACTCTCCACCAATGATGAAACTAGTAATCACTGATTTGGTCAAAAATTTGGTAGAATTTTTCCGGAGGCCATTTTCGTCATTTTTAGGCAATATTTTCGAAAGGCCGTTTTCCTTAAATTTTGAAGGATGCAGATCAAAGATTCAGTTTGAGGCTATTCTTTGGAGATGAGTAACTCTATTAAACACCGATTCAGGCGGAATATTTTCGGGGCCATTTTTGGCAGATTCCAAATTAGTACCATCACTGATTTCGGGCGATATTTTGGAAAGACAGCTTTCCATGGATTTTGAAGGTGACGGATCGCAGATTCGGCCCTAGAGTACTCTCCATCAATGATGAAGTCTAGTAACCACGGATTTGGGCGGATATTTGGTCGAATTTTTGTGGGGGGCATCTCGTAAATTTTAGGCGATATTTTCGAAAGGCCGTTTTCATTAGATTTTGAAGGCTGCAGATCACGGATTCAGTCTGAGGCTATTCTTTAGAGATGAATAAATCTATCAAACACCGATTCGGATAAAATATTTCCGGGGCCATTTATGGCAGATTCCAAACGGGTACCATCACCGATTTCGGAAGATTTTTTTGGAAAAGCCATTTTCCTTGTATGTTGAAGGCGACGGATCGCTAATTCGGCCCTAGGGTACTCTCCACCAATGATGGAGTCTACTAATTGCGAATTTGGGCGGAAATTTGTCGAATTTTCCGATGTGCATTTTCGTAATTTTTAGGTGATATTTTTGAAAGGCCGTTTTCATTAGATTTTGTAGGCTACAAATTACGGATTCAGCTAAGGCTATTCTTTATGGATGAATAAGTCTATTAAATACCGATTCAGGCAGAATATTTCCGGAGCCATTTTTGGCAGATTCCAAAGGGGTACCATCATCGATTTCAAGCGATTTTTTGGAAAAGCAATTTTCCTTGGATGTTGAAGGCGAATGATCGCAAATTCGGACCTAGGGTACTCTCCGGCAATGATGAGTAGTCGCGGATTTGGGCGGAAATTTAATCGTATTTTCCCGGGGGGAGGGCGGGGGGCATTTTCGAAAATTTTTAGGCAATATTTTCGAAAGACCGTTTTTCTTAGATTTTGATGGCTGCAGATCACGGATTCAGCATGAGGCTATTCTTTAGGGATGAATAAATCTATTAAACACCGATTCGGGGGAATATATCAGGGCCATTTTTGGAAGATTCCAAAGTTGTAACATCACCGATTTTGAGCGATTTTTTAAAAAGGCCTTTTCCTTGGATTTTGAAGGCGACGGATCGCAGATTTGGCCCTAGGGTACTCACCACCGACGATAAAGTCTAGTAATCGCGAATTTGGGTGGAAATTTGGTAGAATTTTTCCGGAGGGCATTTTCGTAATTTTTAGGCAATATTTTCAAAAGGTCGTTCCTTAGATTTTGAAGGCTGCAGATCACGGATTCAGCTTGACGTTATTCTTTAGGGATGAATAAGTCTATTAAACACCGATTCTTGTGGAATATTTCCGGGGCCATTTTTGTCAGATTTCAAAGGGGTATCATCACCGATTTCGGACGATTTTTTGGAAATGTCATTTTCCTTGGATTTTGAAGGCGACGGATGAGAGATTCGGCCATAAGGTACTCTCAACCAATGGCGGATTTGGACAGAAATTTGATCGATTTTTTCCGGAGGGCATTTTCGCAATTTTTAGGCAATATTTATGAAAGGCCGTTTTCTTTAGATTTTTTAGCCTGCTGATCACGGATTTAGCCTGAGCCTAATCATTAGAGATGAATTAGTCTATTAAACACCGATTCGGGTGGAATATTTCCGGTGCAATTTTTGGCAGATTTCAAAGGGATATCATCACCGATTTAGTGCGATTTTTTTGAAAGGATATTTTCCTTTAATTTTAAAGGCGACGGATCGCAGATTCTGCCCTAGGGTACTCTCCACCAATTATGAAGTCAAGTAAACGCGGATTTTGTCGAATTTTTCGAGAGTGCATTTTCGTAATTTTTAGTCGATATTTTCAAAAGGCCGTTTTCCTTAGATTTTAAAAGCTGCAGATCACGTATTCAACCCTACGGTACTCTGTACCAACGATGAAGTCTAGTAAACGCGGATTTGGGCGGAGATTGGTCGAATCTTGCCAGATGGCCTTTTCGTAATATTTAGGCGATATTTTCGAAAGGTCGTTTTCCTTAGATTTTAAAAGCTGTAGATCACGGATTCAGCCTAAAGCTATTATTTAGGGATGAATAAGTCTATCAAACAACGATTCGAGCGGATTATTTACGGGGCCATTTTTGGCAGATTCCACCTATCACCGATTTCAAGCGATATTTTGGAAATGCCATTTTCGTTGGATTTTGAAGGCGATAGATCACAGATTCGGCCCTAGGTACTCTCCACCAATGATGAAGTCTAGTAATCGCTAATTTGAGCGGAAATTTGGCAGAATTCTACGGAGGGAATTTTTGTAATTTTTAGGCGATGTTTTCGAAAGACCGTTTTTCTTAGATTTTGAAGGATGCCCATCGCGGATTCGTCCTGAGGCTATTCTTTTGTTATGAATATGTCTATTAAACACCGATCCGGGGGGGGGGGGGGAATATTTCTGGGGCCCTTTTCGGCAGATTCCAAATGTCATCACCGATTTCGGGCGATTTTTTTGGAAATGCCACTTTTCTTGGATTTTGAAGGCGACGGATCGCAGATTTGGCCCTAGGGTACTCTCCACCAATGATGAAGTCTAGTAATTGCGGATTTGGTCAGAAATTTGGTCGAATTTTTTCGGAGGGCATTTTCATATTTTTTAGGCGATATTTTCGAAAGGCCGTTTTCCTTATATTTTGAAAGTTGTTGATCACGGATTCAGCCTGAGGTTATTATTTAGGGATGCATAAGTCAATTACACAGATTCGGGATGAATATTTCGATGACCATTTTTGGCAGATTCTAAAGGGGTATCATCACCGATTTTGGGTGATTTTTTGGAAAGACCATTTTCCTTGGATTTAGAAGGCGACGGATCGCAGAATCGGTCCTAGGGTACTCTCGACCAATGATGAAGTCTAGTAATGGCGGATTTAGGCGAGAATTTGGTCGAATTTTCCAGGGGCGCATTTTCGTAATTTTTAGTCGATATTTTCAATAGGCCATTTTCCTTAGATTTTGAAGGCTGCAAATCATGAATTCATCATGAGGCTATTCTTTAGTGATGAATAAATCAATTAAACACCGACTCAGGTGGAATATTTCCGGGGCCATTTTTGGCAGATTTCAAAGGGGTACCATCACCGATTTCGGGTGATTATTTGGAAATGCCATTTTCGTTGGATTTTGAAGGCGACGGATCACAGATTCGGCCCTAGGGTACTCTACACCAAGGATGAAGTCTAGTAATCGCGGATTTGGGTGGAAATTTGGTCGAATTTTCTGGAAGGCATTTTCGTAATTATTAAGCAATATTTTCGAAAGACCGTTTTCATTAAATTTTGAAGGCAGCAAATCACGGATTCAGCCTGAGGCTATTCTTTAGAGATGAATAAATCTATTAAATACCGATTCGGGGGAATATTTATGGGCAATTTTTGGAAGATTCTAAAATTGTAACATCACTGATTTTGAGCGATTTTTTAGAAAGACCATTTCCTTGGATTTTAAAGGCGACGGATCACAGATTCGACCCTTAGGTACTCTCCACCAGTGATGAAGTCTATTAATCGAGGATTGGCGTGGAAATTTGTTCGAATTTTTCCAGAGGGCATTTACGTAATTTTTAGGCGATATTTTTGAAAGGCTGTTTTTCTTAAATTTTGAAGGCTGCATATCATATATTAAGCCTGAAGCTATTTTTTAGTGATGAATAAGTCTATTAAACCCCGATTCGGTTGAAATATTACCGGAGCCATTTTTGGCAGATTCCAAAGGGGTACCATCATTGATTTCAGGTGATTTTTTGGAAAGACCATTTTCCTTGGATTTTGAAGGCGGCGGATTGCAGATTCAGCCCTAGGGTACTCTCCACCGATGACGAAGTCTAGTAATAGCGGATTTGCGCGGAAATTTGGTCGAATTTTTTCGGAGGCCATTTTTGTAAATTTAGGCGATATTTTCGAAATGCCGTTTTTCTTAGATTTTGAAGCCTGCAGATCGTGGATTCAGCCTGATGCTATTCTTTAGGGATGAATAAGTCTATTACACACCTATTCGGGTGGAAAATTTCCGGGGCCATTTTTGGCAGATTTCAAAGGTGTACTTTACCGATTTTGCGCGATTTTTTGAAAAGGTCATTTTCCTTGCATTTTGAAGGCCATGGATCGCAGATTCGGCCCTTGGGTACTCTCCACCAATGATGAATTCTAGTAATAGCGGATTTCGGCGGAAATTTGGTCGAATTTTTTCGGATGGCATTTTCGTAATTTTTAGGCGATATTTTCGAAAGGTCGTTTTCCTTTGAATTTGAAGGCTGGAGATCTCTGATTCAGCCTGAGGCTATTCTTTAGGGATGAATATGTCTATTAAACACCGATTTGGGCAGAATATTTCAGGGGCCATTTTTGGCAGATTCCAAATGGCTACCATCACCGATTTCGCGCGATTTTTTGGAAAGACAATTTTCCTTGGATTTTGAAGGCGACGGATAGCAGATTCGGCCCTAGGGTACTCTCCAACAATGATGAAGTCTAGTAATCGTGGATTTGGGCAGAAATTCGGTCGAATTTTTCCAAGTCCATTTTCGTAATTTTTAGGCGATATTCTCAAAATGCCGTTTTTCTTAGATTTTGAAGGTTGCGGATCACTGATTCAGCCTGAAGCTATTTTTTAGGGATGAATAAGTCTATTAAACACCGATTCGGGTGGAATATTTCCGGGGCCATTTTTTGCAGATTCCAATGATGAAGTCTAGTAATCGCCGATTTGGGCAAAAATTTGGTCGAATTTTTTCGAATGGCATTTTCGTAATTTTTAGGTGATATTTTCGAAAGTTCGTTTTCCTTTTATTTTGAAGGCTGCAGATCACTGATTCAGCCTGCGGCTATTCTTTAGGCAGGGCTTGTAAACGGTCAGTAACCTGTTTAACCGGTTACCGTTTGACCGGTTACCGGTATACTGGACATCATCAGAACTTCACCGTTTGCCGATACCGAACTTAACTCGGTAAACCGAATACCGAATTCATGCGGTATCGGTTATTAGCCGGATACCCGTTTTTCCTGCTGGACTTGCTAGCTAATAGCTACTACCTATTTAAGAACAAAACATCTCCTCTGCTCTCGGCAATAAGATACACAGCCAGCATAGCTGCAAAATCCAAAAGCAAACCACAATAGAACAAATTAATAAATAAATTTTGATGTTGTGAGGTTAATCGATTAAGCAAAACAAAATATAAATATATAACAACACATGACTTTGCTCCTCTGCTTGGTTGCAAGCCTGCAACACTCACACGCCTGCTCTATGAGAATTAGAGGATTGATATAGCCATATAGGATTTTGAATTGGATTAACAGATGAGAAATGGAAAGAGGACACTTGTAGATTAAAAAGGAAAAGCTAATCTGCAGTCATTATGACTGCTTTGGATGGGAATTACAGAAAGCTATCTTCTAAGGAATCAGAGCAAGGATGAAGGATGAAAAGAAATAAAACATGGGAAATAAAGAAATCCCAAGAACACTTGAACCAAAAGACCCGACTTCCCACTTCTATCTACCCAGAAGACCCCTTCACTTGTAGATGAGAAGACTAAAGAATGGATCGATTGAGGAACCCTTCTACAATCCTTGCATGCGCTTGACTGGTTGTTAAACGGTGAAGTCTCCAGACAGGAATGAGTGTTTAAATAAGATGCGCCGATAGATCCGTTGTCGTAGGCTAACTTTTGAGAAGCTCAAGGTGCTAGCTGTTCTTGGAGCATCGAGAAAGTTGATATACTTTTTGGGAGCATATCTCAGATGAGCTTGAATGAGGATGTCTGGGACTGGAAGCGATGAAGGAAAGGGAGGACCCATTGAAGAGATAAGGTTTTCGCAGCGTCGTTTTGAGGAGGTGAAGCTTGAAGAAAAAACGGTGTCGTGATATGAAAAGGAATCCGGCAGTGGAACGTTCTCGTGTCTTCACTTGGAAACTCGAAGTTGAAACATCGTCATGTTTGGAGAAAGTATCCAACACTCTCCTCTGCTCGGTTATAAGCCTATAATAATTAACTCAGACACACAAACGGTGCAACAATTAACAAATCAAACTTCATTACCTGCAAATCAATCGACGGAGAGTACGAACTGCTCGGCTAGGGTAGAGCAATTAAGCTTCGGCGGCGACGGGGGTCGACGCAAACGGAGCCGACGGGGGTTGACGGAAACAGAGCCCGACGAAAAGGACGAAAAATCTGACAGGTCGTACTGGGCTGTTGGGTCGTGTCCCGTAGCTCGAGCGTTCGCCGGCGACGAAGAGGAAAAAAATTCTGCTGGTTTCGACAGGCGACCAGCGGCGTTTGGATTCGAGTGGCGGAGGAGGGATTGGCTTGGGCGGCGTGACTCATCGTGCGGCAGGCAGGGGAGAGACGAGAGAGTGATGCAAAAGAGTAATTAGTATTAATTACTTATTACTCATTACTTAATTAGGCCTGCTGGGTTGGGGTGTTGGGGGCCGACGCCTTTGGCCTGGCTTCTCATATTCGGTATCGAATTACCAAATGGCCGACGGTAAATTACCGTAGATATGTCGGTATACCGCTTCATCCATTTTCACGTCCGATTACCGATAAATACGGTTAACGGTTTAACCGGTAATCCCGGTTACCGGTATGGTTATTCGGGTGGAAAATTTCCGGGGATGAATAAGTCTATTAAACACCTATTCGGGTGGAAAATTTCCGGGGCCATTTTTGGCAGATTCCAAAGGTGTACTTTAGCGATTTTGCGCGATTTTTTGAAATGGTCATTTTCCTTGCATTTTGAAGGCCATGGATCGCAGATTCGGCCCTTGGGTATTCTCCACCAATGATGAATTCTAGTAATAGCGGATTTCGGCGGAAATTTGGTCGAATTTTTTCGGATGGCATTTTCGTAATTTTTAGGCGATATTTTCGAAAGGTCGTTTTCCTTTGAATTTGAAGGCTGGAGATCTCTGATTCAGCCTGAGGCTATTCTTTAGGGATAAATATGCCTATTAAACACCGATTTGGGCAGAATATTTCAGGGGCCATTTTTGGCAGATTCCAAATGGCTACCATCACCGATTTCGCGCGATTTTTTGGGAAGACAATTTTCCTTGGATTTTGAAGGCGACGGATAGCAGATTCGGCCCTAGGGTACTCTCCAACAATGATGAAGTCTAGTAATCGTGGATTTGGGCGGAAATTCGGTCGAATTTTTCCAAGTCCATTTTGGTAATTTTTAGGCGATATTCTCAAAATGCCGTTTTTCTTAGATTTTGAAGGTTGCGGATCACTGATTCAGCCTGAAGCTATTTTTTAGGGATGAATAAGTCTATTAAACACCGATTCGGGTGGAATATTTCCCGGGCCATTTTTTGCAGATTCCAATGATGAAGTCTAGTAATCGCCGATTTGGGCAAAAATTTGGTCGAATTTTTTCGAATGGCATTTTCGTAATTTTTAGGCGATATTTTCGAAAGTTCGTTTTCCTTTTATTTTGAAGGCTGCAGATCACTGATTCAGCCTGCGGCTATTCTTTAGGTATGAATATGTCTATTAGGGCTAGCTACTTGGTCCGGGTTTTTTGGTTTTACCCGAAATCGGACAGTATAACCCGGACCGGGACCGGATAGTAAACAATCCAATCCAATGTTTGGGCTTGGATTTGAGGTAAAAAACCGTTCGGGACCGGATCGAAAACTAGATAAAGACCGGATAAGAGACCTCAACACCCAAAACTTAAGGATAATTTGCATAGACGGTCACAAACCTTTGCATTTAGTACAAAACTTAACCAACTCCTCACCCTTTCAGGCCTTAGGCCACTCAAATCCCCACAAGCACAATATAAAATCAAGACCGAATTGGGACCGGAACGAGTCAAGACCGGACCGGATCAAGAACGGACTGTAAACAATCCAAGTTTTGGTCCTTATATTTTCAAAAAGACCGGACTGGACTGTATCAATTTGGGCCAACCGGACTAGACCGTATATCCACCCCTAATGTCTATTAAACACCGATTCGGGCGGAATATTTTAGGGGCCATTTTTGGCAGATTCCAAATGTGTACCATCACCGATTTCGGGCGATTTTTTGGAAAGGCAATTTTCCTTGGATTTTGAAGTCGACGGATCGCAGATTCGACCCTTGGGTTCTCTCCACCAATGATGAATTCTAGTAATCGCGAATTTGTGCGAAAATTTGGTCGAATTTTTTCGGAGGGAATTTTCGTTATTTTTATTTGATATTTTCGAAAGACCGTTTACCTTAGATTTTGAAAGTTGCGGATCACGGATTCAGCCAAAATCTATTCTTTAGGGATGAATAAGTCTATTGAACACCGATTCAGGTGGAATATTTCAGGGGCCATTTTTGGACGATTCCAAAAGGATGCTGTTTATGGGTCGAATGATGAATTAGAAAGGAGGGCTACTTATACTGAATTAGCAAGAGTAAAAGTGAGCAGCCATCCCTGGATAATTGGTGTGGACTTTAACGCAGTTTTGAAATCAGGGGAAGTCTCCTGGACGTGTGAGCCAACAAGTAGGGGTGTTCATAGGCTGAACACCCCTATCAACAAGGTGGATTTTGGTAGTTGGCTTGCTTCGATGAAGTTGTTTGATCATTGAGCACCGGACTGTTTTCCGCCCCTATCATCGTGTGTTGTATTGGAACACTTCCCTTCCCTTTGATTCAGTGGGAGTATGGATAAGGGCATATCAAGGTCCAATTCAATTTCCACCGTAATGCCAAGTTGTGCGCTAGATGAGTTGAAACCGTGTGCTGACAGAGGACAAAACTGAGACTGCGGATCCCTCTCTCTTCCCACATCAACTCCCTAAAATTGAGACACACTGAAATAAATATTCATCCCCCACACTGAAATCACTCACTCTGACGTCGACTGTGCTTCCTTCCCTTCCTTCCCAACTGTGGACGATTCAAATTGGGTTACTTCACTGCATCCCTCTCCTTTAAATTGGGTCAACTACGATACTACTCATCAGCCTGCCCCTGGTTTAGCTGATATTACTCTTCACTCTGTGTCTCTCTCTCTCTGCCTTGGTAGTCTATTAATGGCAACGCCAGAGGAATACAGAGCTCTAGAGCTCATTCGGCAGCACCTACTGGAAGACCATTTCTCCTCCGCCGATCTCTTCATCACTGATTTGAACTCCCGAATCTCTTGCGTCTCCCAGGAGTTGCTGCTTCCTGTGGCCGTAAAACACGAAGAAGAAGAAGAATGGCAATCCCCTGCTTTGTGCTCTGACTCCAATTCCCCTGAATCCTACCTTGACACGTCCTCGCCGAAGCCTAGGGTTTCGGGTTCCTGTAGTGGGTCGTCGTCGCCAGAGCCGGAAGAGAGGGGGAGGCAGTTCAGAGGCGTGAGGAAGAGGCCGTGGGGCAAATTTGCGGCGGAAATCCGTGACCCGACCCAGAAAGGCAGCCGGGTGTGGCTAGGGACTTTTGACAGCGACGTGGATGCCGCCAAAGCCTACGACTTCGCCGCTTTTGAAATGAGGGGGAGGAAAGCAATCCTCAATTTCCCACTAGAAGCTGGCAAGTCCGACCCGCCAGCTGCCTGCACTGTCCGGAGACGGAGGAGGATGAAGAAAACGGCGCCGGATTCGGTGAAAGCATCCCCCGCCCGGGAACTGGAAATGGGTCCCTTCTAAGGATACATATAGTGTGTGTGGGGCTTGCTGGAGTTTAGTTGATTGTGTAGATCATCAAGTTAATTAATTAATTAGAAAGCTTCATTATGGTGCACCTAAATGACATAATATTTGGGTGGAGTTCTGAGTAACTTTATGTATAACCCAATAAGAATTCGCCACATCAGCGTTTATTTTTTTCTCCTCGAAAAAGTTTTAATTTTCCTTCCTTAATTTTTAACGGATCATTTCTCACTCGTTTTAACTCGGAATTTAACTTTTTTTGCACAGTTAGAACAGATTTATTGTGTTCTTCAAAATTATATCCACTTTGATATTTTTTGGAACAAAAATTTTTTGTCAGTTATTACCAGTCCTGAATTGCTATTTATAGCCCTAGGAGAATGTAATTACTATTTTACCCTTCCTTTTAAAATGTTGAACTTGTTACAACTCCAACCAAACACTCCCTTCTCTCCCAAAATCATTAAATATTCTTAAAAATCTAAATCATTCATCAATCTATTATAAAAAAATCTTAAATAATAACCAAAAAATCTAAATTAATATCTATTTAAAAATATAATATAATTCATAAATTTAAATTAATAGAAAATTAAAAATAAAATAAAAAACGGCGACGTCCCGGCATGACTTCCGGCCATCAGAGGTGGCGGTCGCCGGCGACGTTCCGGCATGACTTCCGGCCATCGGAGGTGGCGGTCGTCGGCGGGAGGTGCGGTCGCCGGCGGGAGGTATTGTAGGATTGTGTTTAGAGAAAGTGTTTGAATATTTTGGTCTTGGAATGTGTGAACTAAATGTATTTAAATGTGATGGGTATTATTGTACATTTTATAATTTAGGGCTACAAATAAAGACAATTTAGGGCTACAAATAGTACGCCCCATGAAAAATACCACCCCATACCAGGGTGATATAGTATGGTATGGAGTTGGTAACGAGAGGTATGAAATTTTTTCACACAGAAAATTTGAAATTCAATAGATCATGATTATATCGTTCCTTCTATGCAAAAAATTTCGAAAACGACTAAAAATGAAGGAGATATCATATGGTATGGAGTTGGTAACAAGAGGTATGGAAAAAAAATTCTCAAAAATATTAAAAATGGATATCATTTTGTAGAACAAACAAACTCGTTCCATCTGTGCAAAAAAAAAAAATGAAATCCGAGTTAGAATGAAGAAAATATGATCCAATCAAGAAAACTAGGGAAAATAAATTCTTTTAATTCTCCACCCTTAGATCTGCAACCACTTAAAAGAAGGGTCCAGATTTGGTTACTCATAGTTATGCACCCTAAGGTTATGCACCCTATCTTGAGCCCATAATATCTCTTGTAGACGAAACTTATCAATTTTGAACCATTCCAATAAACACCATACAATACAGAAGGGTCCAGATTTAGATCTCATAGTTATGCATCCTAAGGTTATGCACCCTATCTTGAGCTCATAATATCTCTCGACGAAACTTATCAATTTTGAACCATTCCAATAAACAACATACAGTACAGAGCTTGCTTAGCATAATTAAACTATTCAATATTCATACAAAGCCGGTCAAATTAATCTATGTGCAGTTACTTGTACAATCATATTTATAACGACATATTTTAGTAAGAGTCCGAGTGAGTCCGAGCCCCTCCATCCATCAACTTCTCAATCAACCCACCCACTTGCTTGCAATGCAAGAATTCAAATCCGAATGAACTCCCAGCAAATGCCATCGCGCATTTAAACCTCAATGGGCCACCCTACCCTACAACGACAACTACAGAAAGCAGCAAGTGGTAAGGCTGGTGGTGGGCGGGTCCAGAGATAAGTGATGCATCCAATTTCCAGAACACCGTACATGTTCAGTGTACCAATGCTCTTTACCGCAACTTGCGCGCAGCCGACGTCCATGCATGGCTGGGGCTGCCTACTTGCTAAGAACAAATGCAAAGTGGCCCAACGGGTAACAAATAACCCACTCTCTCCTTGTGGATGTGATGTAGAGGTGACAGGTTAGGATCTGTTTCTTCGTGTTACTGGTCAATCGGGTTGCATGTTAATCATACTACAAATTAATTGGATTATGTGGATGTGATGTAGAGGTGACAGGTTAGGATCTGTTTCTTCGTGTTACTGGTCAATCGGGTTGCATGTTAATCATACTACAAATTAATTGGATTATAGGTCACTTGCGTCCATTTTATCTATGTTGTGCCCAAACACTAACAAACCTTGTATAAACATGGAGAACACCAACTCTCCTAGCACCCGCCATTGTTCAAGGGAGAAGAGGAGTAAACCCCACCACCTTTGGGGCAACCTCGTGGAGATCACTTAAAGGAACATGAGGGAACTAAACTTTTTATGGAACATCATACTCATGCCTTTTTAGATGTTGTTCCTGAACGCTTCACAACCAAACTCCTAAGGCTCCAAGACCTTTATCTAGGCAAGAGCAAGTGTCTCAATTGGATTCTCTATGCCCAACTCGAAATTGAGGAGGCAATACGTGTAAGAACTATGCTAGGTTTTCGAAAATTTTAGATGTTTCAGGCTATAGCAAGTGAAAGGCAAAATGATTGAGAGTTGGATGAAAGTGAGCAAAAACAGGACAAAGTGCTAGAAATTGTATGGGTCATGGTTCATAGCAGATTGTCACGTGCAGGAGACCGTGAAGCTTACATCAAAACTTTGAAGTATACAACGTTCTGGGAGCATTTGGACGTCTCATGGGCATTGCATGGAACACGGACACAGGGCGTGAATAATACAATTAAACCGTGAAATGTGTAAGGGAAACAATGCATTTTGAACTGAGATCACGGTTTCACTGCACACATCATGGGTGTGACGGCGAACTGTGAAATGTGCCATGACGAGTGTAAATATGAGAGTGAGAAGATTTCAAAGGGAGGAACATTTTAGAGAGAGATTTGGATCTTCTTCTACATTCTAGAGAGTGAAAGCAACGAACCAAGGAAGACTTAAGGGGAATTTGGCCTACCCAAGACCAAAGGAGGCCAAATTTCATCTTCAACACCATTCCAAGCAACTAGGAAGAAGGAGAATCATCTTTCCATGAGGTTTCTCTTTAGTTGTAGTACATTATCTATACATGGGGTAGATTTTCCTTTCACATGGATGGTTGTTAACTCTATTTTGTGATTGGCATGTTTGATTGTATATTTATTAGTATTTATCATGATAATTGAGATTCTTTGATCAATTTCCTCAATTTTGGGGCTAATTAACCTAAGAAAGAGAAGATCTCCTTAGGGTAATTTGGATCACTATTCAATCACCGTAAGGCGCCCAATAAAGAGGGTGATTGGTTTCTTTATGCTGTTTTGGTTCATCGACCGAGGAAGTGGATTTGGTTTCCCTAATTGCCTAATACAGTAGTTTGTTATGCCTATGCGATTAGAGTAATTAGGCGAGTTAGGACAAATCGAATAGGGACTCCTAACTATCTTTGATCTCCCAGCGATATATATAATTTGAAAATCACACTAGAGTATCATGTCATCGACTCAACACATGACTAGGAGGTAATCATCCGAGTGAAGCTTTCTCCCTTGAATCCAAACTACTTGTTTTTTTTGCTTGTTTGTTTAGTTAAAATAGATTAATAAAAATTTTCTACCGCTACATGATTTGTGATTTGTTGAGTAAGGATACATAAACCACTCGGGTTTGATAATTAGAGAAATACTTGCTCTTCACTACACTGATTGAAGGCTCCACTAGGCCTTTGATAGTGTAGTTATGATCGAGTCAAGCTTTTCTGGACCGTTACCGGGGACAACGGTTTATTATTGAGAAAAAATAAACCACTATTAATCTAGTTTTTTTCCTCGCATTATGTGTTAGACCTTGCTAGTTGGCTCTTGTTTGTGTTGTTTGGAGTGAGTGGAGGTAGTGTATGACCCGGAGCAATCCAGAACCCTTGGAGCCACTAGAAAACAACATCTGGACTCTCCGACTACTTGCACGTGAGAGGGAGGTAAGGTTAGCAAGGGAGCGATTGTTGAATTAGGGTCAACCGAAGTTCAAGAAGAAGTTGAAGTTGAAGAGCAGTTTCTGATTGTAGACATGGCAAACGAGGCCATACAAGATGGATATGAAGCAAGGACGATGGGGTACTATAATATCTATTGAGGAGGGAATTAGAAGCCATCAAGTGAATCTTCAAAACGTGGAAACCCAAATTGATCATCTCGCCGAAGTCCTCACCTAGAGACCTCAAGGAGCCTTACCTTCCTAAACCGTAGAAAACCCCAAAGATTCAGGGGGGGGGGATTGCATGCCATTTTTCTTAGAAGTGGCAAGGTGACTCAAGAGGTTGAACCAAAGAAAGTACCTCAAGAAGAAGAAACCCTCCAACGGTGATCGGACAATAGTCTAAGGAGACAAAGGAAGACGTGCATATGAAGGCCTCGCAAACGCCACCTCCGGTGACTGAGTACAAGCCTCCCCTTCATTTTCCCTCAAGATTTCCCAAGGAAAGTTTGGAGGCAGATTGGAGATATTAACCCCCTACTAGCTCCTTAATTTGGATATGTTCGAGGATCTCCATTGCCAGGTTGCTATCTCAACAACGATTGGTCATCCTTAGTGGCGGCAACTTCTTAGAATCGACGAGCACATATTTCGAGAGCTCTGTGTTGAGTTCTACTCCATCTTCAAACACGAGCAGTCTTGTGGAGGTAGCATTCTCAACATCATTTAGGACACCCTGAATCAGTATCTACAACTGCACATGAGCATCATGACGATGACTAAGCTGGAGTACACCCAAATGGTGAACCCCTAGAGGGCGTTCGAGAGGATCTTCCATGAGCAGTATGGTGATCAGCGGTTCCAAGTGGTCCATGCGAGGACTACTCTCTTATTACCCAGTGTAGGATCCTCTGCATGTTGCTGACTCATACCGTAGTGCACAACGCTCTAGCTTACATGCATGTGACCCTCTAAGGGAGCGTGGCTCTCCAGACCATGAGCTGACCCTGGGAGCCTCTGTACATCGGGTCATTAGTGGCGACCTCTTTCTATCTTATTCTAGGACATTTCAGGTTTTATACCATGCCTTTATGCCCCGTCATCACCCGTATGGCGCGGTAATACGACATCGACACCATCATTTGCATGATGGTCCTTACTGAGTGGGGGATTGAGTACATTGATGGCCTCCGCCTTTCGTACTTGTCTAACAAGTAGTGGAGGAGCAGGGCGAGCCATCCTAGAGAGCTCCACCACTACACCAGAGTAGTCATACCCACGCTTCTACATCATCATCCAGTGTTGGCCCCTCTTCCTCGAAAAATCTTGAGGCTCGTGTCACAACTTTT